CTTCCAAGGGGCGAGGGGGCAGTGCCGCCGCTCCCCCCCCCCCCCCCGCTGGTCCTCGCAATTCCGACAAGGCAGGCGACTCCCTGCCCCACCGCCTGCCCTGCCCCCCCCTCCCCTCGTAAAGCTATGAGCCATGAAGCCGCCTGGCAAAAGTTCTCTGCGGCAGCCCTTTTCTGGCAGCTGCCGGCACGGCCGATCCTCTAACGCTCCCTTCTCAGCCTGCCTGGCGCGGCTGCCTCTGCTCGGCTTCTTCCGCCGTTTCCTTTTGGCGTTCCTGCTGCTTTGCTGGGGACGTCCAGAGATCTCGGGGGTCATTGCGGACACCGGTGAGTGCGGGGTGAAAATGGGCTGGAATCTCCCCTTCTAACTCCGCAGGGTCTGATGTTTGGGAAGTCAGCCCTCTTCTCCTTCGCCCTGCTATTTGCTGCCTTTCGAGTTACATGCCAAATTGCCAATGCAGATCAATAGCAAATCCCGTTATCTAGTTATTTTTTCTTCCCCGGTATCTTTTTGGAGCGCCTCATTTCCTCTGTCATGCTAGTTTCTTCTGCTCGTGACAGACCTCATACAGCACCCAGTGTTTTGCTCCCTGTGGTGAGAAGCTTTCCTGACCATTCATCATTCACAAGTATGTGCATATATCTGCTTCTACAAAGATTCATTGACAGGTTTCTATCCTGAGGATAGCATTTTGTTTGATCATCTGCAGCCAAATTGTTAATCGTGACTGCAACTGAATTTTTCTTCCTTCTTTTCCTTCCTACATTTGGAAAAGCAGGAGAGGGAAAATAACCTGCCTATTCTCATGTTGAAGATTCTTTATTGGTAGGTAGGTAGGTAGGGAGGGAGGGAGGGAGGGAGGGAGAGAGGGGGGGAATGCAAACTCAGTCATATGAGGATGGGCAAGATGTGATCTCAAAAGGTGCTGATGCAGCAAAATGTTCTTGGCAGGTTGTCAGAATGCTCATTTTTTGTGAATCTTATTTAAGAAGTATCTGAAGCAGAGTAAGTGGGGGTTTTGTTTAGGGAAAGATTTAGAATTAAGTTGAGAACTCATACATAATATACATATGGGAAAAGGAACTCCCTGTGAGGACAACTTTTAAGCATGAAGAAATGTGTATTTTGTTTAACAATAAATTTAACAATTTATTTTCAAAGAAATCTAACTGAATTTCTTGATATAATTTTGTATAATAACTGAGAATTTGCATTCTTATGGTTTATGTGAGAAGTGGCCCTTATGTAAAGGGAATTGATTGATTTTCAATGGACATATGAATTCCATTTTTGAGAAGTTTGCAGATTCACAGAGTTTGATCAATATTTCTGAGGAAAACTGACAAGAGTCATGGTATTTGGGATCTCATTAAAAGAGCTTCCCTTCTGAAAAATGATTTTTTTTACATTTAGATTATTATGTAAAAATACATTGTATTAAATACCCAATACTTTTTGTAATTCTTTCTGCAATACTGTAATATTTTGTATTGCTTTCCTAAATACTAGGAAATATTTTAATAAGGCATGTTGGAGCAATTGGAATGATATTACCCTCATAAAGGAAAATTAACAGAATTTAAAGCAGCCTATATAAAGTGTTCATTTCCTCTGTGTTTAATGAAGACCTATCTCTTTCCCCTAGCTATCCATTGGAATGAAACCTTGGAAAAAACAGAAACCATACTGGCAAATGAGGACACTGCATTTCAACAGATTAACAATAGTAGTAGCAAAAATAACAATTACAGCAGTGCATTCCAAAAAGAAATCACATTGCCTTCAAGACTTATTTATTATTTGAACAAAGACTCCGAAAGTCCCTATCATATTTTGGATACTAGGACAAGATACCAGCAAAAACACAGTAAGGTAAGAATTTAAAAAAAGGAACATCCAGTACAGTAGCTCAAAATAGTCCTGTCCCTTGAGGGATTGTCTTACTTTAAGAATGTCTATTCAGCAGATTGGTAATACCTCTGTAATATTATTGCTGCATTGGGTTTAGATGCCAGGAATGGCCGTCAATTAGTTGTGAAGCTTAGTATCAGTACTGTAGATAAAACAAAGGAATATAACCTGAATTTCTATTCTGTTTAGAGGTTTAGATTTTATCCCTTCATTTTAACCAATTTACTTGAATTAGAAAAAGGGGCATGGTAAAAACTAAATAATATCTTTCATATGACAGGTATAGGAGAACTTAATGTGTTATAGATCCAAATTCTTTATCTTTAGTAGATGTGTATAGGTGTATGTGTACACACACACACACACACACACACACACTGCATGTTCATGTAACTAAACTTAGTCATGGCTAAGCCTTATTTAAAACAATGACACTTAAATAAGTTATGATTCACTTGTGTCATTGCTTCAATTGTATGTTTAAATGATTAACCTTAGCTGTATCAAGACCTGCAGAGTTCTCATACGTACATATAGCAGAAAAATAATATGAGTGAACTTACTAAGAGAGCAAGTTAGAAGATTGCTTAGAATTTAGTCTGTTGTGATTTCATGTGTATTGCAGTCTTGTTTTTCTTGATCTCTTCCCAAAGTAATAATTAGGCCAAATGTGATCTGTCCCTCTTGTTATGATATGAGATCACACATTGCAGTACTTTTATAAATGTTCTATTTCCTCTCTAAAGGTAGTATTTCAGTAGTCAAATAGCCATTTCCTCTCTAGAGGTAGTATTTCAGTAGTCAAATAGCCATTTCACAATGTTGTATTATATAAATATGTAACATTGTTATTGGACATAATTATGGTTAGTTTGGGATTGAAAACCCAACCACATGCATTTTTAATAGACAGGAGACTTCTTAATTTTTAAAATAATACTATTAATGCAAATTAAAAGGCAAGGTTTTTTGGTAATCATTAATAATTTGTGTTTTTTTCATTGAATCATACTTTATATTAACTCACGATTCTTGGAATAATATGGCTTATTCCAAAATTGATCTATCCAAAGAAATGCATTACTTTGGCAAGAGGGGCAGTTACAGAAAATTGATTGATTTTATTTTATTTTACCGTGTTTCTCATATAAGGCCGGGTCTTATTTTTTTTTGAGCCCCGAAAAAATGGCTAGGCCGTCTTTTCGGGGGTGACTTAATTCCCCCACTTGCATCTTCGGGCGGGTGGCGACAGCTTGGGTGTTGACCTCGGCATTGGTGGGGCACTTCGTATCGGGGTCAACGCAGGCAGCACCATATCCGGGTGTGCAACAAAAGTATTTCCTAACGGCAAGCCCCCCCACCATTCCCCTCATTTCGCATGTTTTAATATAGGCCTTAATTTGGGGGGAGGGGCTTAATTTCATTTCATGCCTATAAAACATGCTGGGACTTCCTATTGGGGGAGGCTGTATTGTTGGAGAAACAGGGTATTAATCAGTTCAGAAAGCAAAGGAGTGAAGTCTATGTGCCACCTGACCCATTATTTTGAAGCTCAAGAGACCTTTGGCAGCTGTTTCTGATGAAACATAAGAAACTATTGTCAGATAAAGAAAACAGGGCATTCCCAGTGGTATATGCAATATCTCTACAGGACCAACACTGGAGAACATGAAATTAATATCTATTGATCATATAAACGTTAATGACAAATCTAGAGTGACAGTATGCTTGAAGGACATTCTCAAGGGTCTGTGCTGCTTTGATCTTTCCAGATTATTTTTCTCTTCTTATTATAGATTTTTTGTGTCAGTGAATGCAGGCTTTGGAAGTGACACTTTAGGAAACAATACAGGTAGTCCTCGAATTACAGTTCATTTGCTGACCATTCAAAGTTACAACAGTACTGAAAAACTGTCATGACCATTTTTCGTAGTTACAACTTTTGCAGCATCCCCATGGTCGTGTGTTCTAAACTCAGATGCTTTTCAATTGGTTCATGTTTATGATGGTTGCTGTCTCCCAGAATTCTGTGATCATCTTTTATGACTTTCTGACAAACAAAGTCAATGGGGAAGCCAGATTCAGTTCATAGCTGCAGTGATTCACTTAACAACTGTCATGAAATGGGATAAAACGCACTTAACAGAATGTTTTTCTTGTTAAGAGAAATTTTGGGCTCACTTGTGGTTGTAAGTTGAGAACTACCTGTATAAATAGAGGTGGTGCAAGGCTGATTTGAACCCAGTGCTTGCATAACACAGTTGTATGTTCCTTTGAACTATGGGGGTTTGGCACTTACTGCTTTTATATTTATGTTCATGAGTGTAAAGCATTATCCAAAGTAAGAAAATACAGGTATTTTGTTAGCTAAAAGGTCCCATCTCTTATGAAAGATGACGATTTTGTGCAAGAACTGGCATAATTAGTAAAATACTGTAACTAAGTGCTTAGTTTTGTGGGAAAGTTATTCAAACAAGGTATAATTCATTTCTGGAATTAAACAGATACTGTTTCTCATGTTCCTTGGTATATACAGTACTTGGTAGCTATGTTAGTGCAATTGTAGCAATTTCACTTCCTTATTCTAGTATGGTCTTTGCTGTTACTGTAGTAATAAAAATAAGGGTTAATGTGGGTAGCAGTGCTCATTTCCTAAGTCCCGTGTCCTTCCTCTACCCATCAAGGGAGGGAGGCAGCTCTTTCAAGTGCTTTTATGTATTTCAGTGATTAATTACTGCACTGAGAATATAATTGTTACTAATTCTGCCTGCCTTAAGAATATAATAGTATCTAGCTGCCAATGCAGCTAAAATGCTTGAAGTTATAGTTACATCCTTAGCAAGTATTCCAAATGTTAATCCTTATATAGCCCAAAAAAGCATTATCCATTTGCACAAGTTTAAATATTTTACATTAATGATTTAGGAGAAAAATGGAGCGAGGAAAGAGCAATTCAGCAAGGATTGACCACAAGAGCCAATATAAATATAAAGGAGAAGGAAAAAAGGCATATCCAGGAAATGACTGGCTGAAAAGACATAATACTGCAATATTTTGCTGCATTTTCCATGTTTTAACTTCATAGTCTCGCTGTATAGAAACCTTGTCTTGGGAAAGTTAACTAGAATAATCTAGCTCACAGCATTGTTAATACTCATTATCTTGAGTTCTCTGGAGTGTAGCTTTCAATATGGCAACTGACAGAGTATATGGTTAATATAACTGTTAAATTAGTTATATGCCAAGACTTCTGTACATGGAAAGAGGATAGTATGATTAACTAAATCCTAAGAGCTTTTAGTTGAGGTAGGACAACAGGAGTCAGCCCAATGAATGATTCAGCAGAAAGTGCTTGACAGAGTTAAACAATGCTAAATATGTGTCAGATGAAAGTTTTCTGCTAAAGCACTATTCTGGAGGAGAGTCACCTCTAGGAGAGAAGGAAGGAAGGAAGGAAGGAAGGAAGGAAGGAAGGAAGGAAGGAAGGAAGGAAGGAAGGAAGGAAGGAGTCCCTGCAAAATTTATTCACTAGTCATTGTTGATTATAGGGGGAAGCATTCATCTCACTGTTCCTAGGCATGATGGGTGGCTTATAAATTTAATAAATAAATTTAACAAACAAACCAAAATTTAACAAACTTCAGTTGTCATCCCATTCATATGTAACAAAAGTCTCTTTGCAGGACATCCCTTGAATGCCCTTTCTAGTTCTTGGAGGGAGCAAAGACACAGGCATTTAGTACTGGATGTTTGCCCATGTATAAATATACATAGGCCAAAACTTTATTTCTCCTAACCTGGAGAAATAAGGCATATCTTTTAGTTCTTTCTTTTTTGAATATCAATATTTAAATAAACTAACACTTTGAATCACATACCTATTCTTTGTGGGCTTCTCTACTTATGTGAATGACTGTTTTAATGAGTCATGATTTCAATCCTAAAAACAATCCATTCTCTGACCTAAATGAGGAGGAGCCAGTTGAAGTTGGAAAGGAGAGATCAATGGAAGTTCTGGAATCACATTCCAACATCAAGCCTGAGGTGCAACATGCTGGATAGACCCAAAGGTGCTTTTTTCAAGAGGCAACTGGACTTTCTGGTTTTTCTTTGAAGACGTTTCACTTCTCATCCAAGAAGACTCTTCACCTCTCAGACCTTCTTTTTAAAAAAATAATAATAAGTTTTTTATTTTTCAATATAAACATACATATTTGTGGGCATTACATTACAAGTCTTTTTTAAGCCACAGTAACAATAACAATACAAATGATATGTGTAATTCTAATCTTCCAACTTCCCCAACTTCAACAATGCTAATCTTTTTTCATAATCCATTTCTCATTTTCCCATTAGTTCATTTAAACGTAAATAACATTTCTTTGCGCCTTGTATTTATAGTCCCTAAATACTATTATTTAATGTTTTAAGAGTTATTCATAGTTCCACCATAACTTCAATATTCAAAATATGTAGGGTTAATAATAATGCCAAATATTAACAATATTTAATCAATCCCGGAAATGTATTTCAAAATCCCACACAATTTCTAATCCTTAATATTTTAAATTCATAATTATATATACTACTATTTTCCCTATATATATTCCCATTTTATTGATATGTTTTCCCATTATTCATCAGCTCTTAATCTTTGAAAGATTCCATCATTTATTGATTTTTTTAATCAACCTTTTATATCTCTCTCTTGGAATCTTGTATCTTTTTGATTTTTTTGTACCTACTAAACTTTCCCTTCTGAATACCTTTTGCCTCTTCTGTATTATTTGAACTTCCATCTACAAAACTTCTTTTTGGTTATTTAAAAGAATTTTTTCCTTTTCTCTCTATTCTGTTATAAACTTTTAAAGGGTTATATAGTTGTCTTCTACTTATTAATCCTTTCTCCTCTTTATTATTAACTTCTTGCATCTCATTTCAGTTTTTCTCTTCCACTTCTT